GGCAACCCAAAAGGACCATGCTACAACCAGGTCAAGTACATACCAAATATAGTTATGTGCTTAGACACCTAATCCAACAAATAATTCAAGCGGAGCGTACCTTAGATCTAGGGTTTCGAAATTATATGGAAGTGGAACCAGGGTTTCAAATGAAGATTGAGGTGGAAAATATTAAATTCGTTCTTCCTTTATGTTCGGTAAGGGTGAGGGCACATATGAAGGGTGTTGGTCGGAGTGTAGATGAAGAGTGGTGAGCAGACGAAGGGCGGTGGCGACAATGGTTACCGATAATGGAATTGATCATATGGTGGTTGTGGTAGGGTTCATGCGTTACAAAGAAAGAAAGATAGGAGATGTGTTGTTATCGGCATGGTTGCAGAAGAGAGGAGAAGGTAGCTGAGCAGATTTCATTGGCGGATGTTTCATGGTTGTCGGCGACTCCATGGTTGTAGTACGTTAATGTGAATGGTCAGAGAAGAAAAGGGGAAAAAGAGTTATAAGGGGAAGAGATAAAAGGGTGGGACCCATAAAATTTGATTAAAATATATTGTGTTAATAAAATTGATAAGAAACATTAAAAAATAATTTGAAAAGGGTGATATAGTCATTTTATGTTGTTAGGGACTAAACGTGCAATTTTTAATGACATGAGGGACGGTATAAGTTAATTTTTAAAAATAGAGACTAAACGTGTTTTTTGGCACATACACAATTTCAACACCACCCCTATATTACGTAAGTGTGAGCTATTGTAGTTGTGGCTATGCTTGGTCACAAACTCTTTCCTTCCTCCCTCTCTATCTCACTCTTCTTCTCCCCACTCACTAGCAATTTACTAGTATAACACCATTTATTAAGGTTTATGATTTGACTGATGTGACACATTCACGCATAAATGAATTGTGATGCATACCGTTTAGCCTTATGGCTTCCGTTGCAATGTATGGGTGTGCAAGAAACCATGGGAACAAATGAAATTCATTGCAAATTTTATAGTTTAGAAACGACCCTTCGAATTTATGGTGGTTTTCCTTTTATATTTTCGATTTGATGAAACTTGTGACAGGGTCAAAGGCATGATGGTTTCGAACATAGGGTAAGCGACGCTACTCACGTAAAGAGCAGATTAAAATTAAAATGAAAATGATGGTGGGGAAAGACAGGACTCCGTTGAGGGGTATTATTGGAAGCTCGTTTGTCGTTTGGTAGAAACTTTTACTAAAAATATCCCTTTGAATACTTAATAAACTCTAAATATGATTGAAGGGCATAATTATCATTTTCATTTAAAATTATATGGATGTATAAATAAGATGCGTAGAAATAACAGCTCCCATTATATTGTGGTGTAAATTTTGTCCACACCATATAAACATTATGTTACGGTGGAAGCTTCGTGCATTTTGTTTAAATATTAATGTCTTCGAAGCTAAAAGGTGAAGTATTATAGAAATAAATTGAATCTGTATTGCTCACTTAACATTGATTACAACAGAGATATATATACAGTAAAATACAACTGAAGTCCTAATTATTTGGTACACATGTTTGACTGTGAACAGGTCTTGTACACGTTGCATAAGAGAGATGAGAATAGGTCTTGAGCACGTGCTGACTATGGAGAAGTTACCGTTGTTACCCCCCGGCAAGCTCAAAGGCGGGACGAATTTGAAGCTTGTGTTTGAGAAACAGAAAGCAATCTTTGGTGAGGGGTTTAGTGAAGATGTCTGCTAATTGGTCGATTGAAGACACAACACTTACATGAAGATCTTTTGAGTCAACTTGTTCTCTTATAAAATGGAAATCTAATGCAATGTGTTTGGACCTGATGCGGATAACAGGATTCTTTGTCATGAAGATTGCACCAACATTGTCACATAGTAGCAAGGGAGGATCCTTTATGGGGACAACAAGATCATATAACAGTTATTTAATCCAAATTAATTCAGCTGCTGTATATACAAGAGATCTGTACTCAGCCTCCGTACTCGAACGAGCAACAACTTTCTGTTTTCTTGATGTCCAGCTTATAAGATTGCAGCCATGAAAAATTGCAAACCCATATTGAGATCTGCTGTCATCCTTGTCTGAGATCCAGCTGGCATCAGAGTAAGCAAGTAGAGAAGTGGCATTAGTTGGCGAAAAGTGCAGACAATGATTGAGGGTGCCATTGAGATATCGCAGGATCCGTTTAACCGCTTGCCAATGGTTAACAGTTGGAGAATGCATATATTGACATACTCGATTGACAGCGAATGCAATGTCAGGACGTGTGATTGTAGCATACTGAAGTGAACCCACCACCTGTCTGTAGAGTTTTGGATCAGAGAACGGATCACCCTCAATTGTTAACTTCATTTGGGTATCAGCTGGAGTGGAAATAGATGCAGCCTCTGACATTTGTGTTTTTGTTAAAATATCTCTAATGTAGCCTTCTTGACTTAGAGTCACAATAAAGGATTTTCGAGTAATTTGAATACCCAAAAAAAAAATGTAACTCCCCCAGATCTTTTAGTGAAAAAACCTTGTGTAGTTGATGAATGAAGTTTTGAATTATATTCACATTTGTACCTGTGATAATCAGATCATCAACATAGACAAGAATATAAATGGTGGTTTTGTTAGATGTGTGAACAAACAATGATGTATCCGATTGACAAGCACGAAACCCTTATTGCATAAGATAAGTTTTGAGCTTGTTGAACCAGGCTCGTGGTGCTTGTTTAAGGCCATAAATCGCCTTATTCAAGCGACAAACATGAGACGGATAGGTGGAGTCTTCACAGCCTCTTGGTTCCGGAAGATTGAGTAGATGAGACACCAGAACTGTTGGAGTTGTACCGAGGCTGATTCCGAGTCATATTGAGAGCTAAGGGAGCGGAGGTATTGGAGGAAGAAGGAATGGCAATTGTTTGGCGTAGATGCTCCTGTTCGATTCTTGCTTATTCTTGAAGTAGTAATCCCATTAAGTCATCAACGGATGGATTAGAATCTTTCATCATAAAGGCCGCAGTGAATGGGCCATAAGAGGAATCTAGCCCGTTGAGGATGTATCCAATAAGGTCTTCTGTAGAAATCGGATTAAGATTCTCGGCCAAGGAGTCGGCAATAGCACGTTTCTTTTCAAGATATTCAATCATGGGTAGCGAGCCTTTTGACAGATTCTGAAGTTGGGTCTTCATAGCCATACGTGTAGCATTGGTTTGGGCTTGGAAAGTTTTGTTGAGAGTGGTCCAAGCAAGATGAGAAGAGGTGGAACGAGCGACAATTGCCAGGGCGCGTTCAGAGAGGGTGGATTTCAGCCACAGAAGTACATAACGATCACATTTCTTCCACAATTGGTACTATGGGTTAGCTGCAATAGTGGGTGCTGCATCGGCACGCTCAATCGTAAGAGTTTCAGCCGGTGGTTTGGGATCAAGAACAAATGATTCAAGATCAAAGGTTTCTAGGGCTGATACAATGGTGGTACGCCATAGACAGTAGTTGGAGGTTTCAAGCTTTATGCTGAGTGGGGGGATTTGAAAAGATGAATTGGTAGCAAGCCCTAAAAGATTTTGATTTGTCGCCATGGGGAAGGAGCAACAAAGAGGGGAAAAAAATATTATCTGCGCTCTGATACCATAAAAGGTGAAGTATTATAGAAATAAATTGAATCTGTATTGCTCACTTAACATTGATTACAACAGATATATATATATATATATACAACTGAAGTCCTACTTATTTGGTACACATGTTTGACTGTGAACAGGTCTTGTACACGTTGCATAAGAGAGATGAGAACAGGTCATGAGCACGTGCTCACTATGGAGAAGTTACCGTTGTTAGAAGCCAATCTTGTGGTGTAAGCATGCTGAATGTAGAATTAGGCATGTGATGTTGAAAGATTTCAAACGCTTTTTGCATTGCTTCATGACAAAATTTATGGCTGATAAATGTGATAAATTTGCTAATTTACTGCTACAACTTACAAATGTTTTATAATTAATATTTATTAAATGTTATTTGCAATTTATTGTGTATAATAACATTCAACCTATATTTTTATTTACATCAAAAAAATATTTATTGAAGTATCTCATATTTTTGTAAGTTTTTCAATCTGATTTATACTCAACACATAAATGAACAGTTTTGAACAAAAAGACAAAATTTCATAATTGGTCCCTGTAGTTTGTAAAATATTATGTCACGTCATTGGTCCCTATGGTTTGCAAAATTTCATGAATGGTCCTCCTGCCATTAAATCTAACTTTTCAACTGTTAGATTTTTATGAAAAATCTTATTTTACCCTTGTACCAAATTTACAATATAGTTTACATATATACAAAATTTCAAATTTACAAAATTACGCAAATGGTCATTGAGGTTTGTAGTATATTGCAAATTTTATAGAAAGGTAAAATAGTTTTTTTTATAAAAATCTAACAGCTGAAAAGTTAGATTTAACGGCAGGAGGACAATTCATGAAATTTTGCAAACCACAGGGAGGGAGTAATGGCATGACGTTTTCAATGAAAGTCCTCAAAATGAGATATTTTACAAACCACATTGGCCAATTATAAAACTTTGTCAAAAAAATATATAATCATCATTTATTATTCTAACTATTTATTTTAAAAAAAAGCATCATACCATATTTTCTATTAACAAACATTATTTATTTTCTACAGGATGGTTTTTAAAATAGATATTTAGAATTAATATTTTTACATCAAAGTCGCTACAATACAACAAGATATACCGTTATCTCTTTGTCGATGATGAAATTAACTATTTTAAACACTATATCCTCAAATCTTGAAAGTAGTAACATTACTGTCCGTTAAACTTTGCTGAATAGCTTCATATCATATCGTGCAAAAAACCCAAAATATCAAATATATAAATAAATGATGATTACCATTTACCAAAATATGAAACACAATTGATATAAACACATTACGAATTTTCATATATCGTTCTCTTATTCTTTGTCACTTTCATAAAAGAGTTTTTAATGCCCATGAGAAGGGGGAACCCCCACAACCTACAACATCCTATCCTGAGTATAGCATGGTACCACCACAAAATTTAACTCTCTATGACTTAATTTCGGCAACACAACCTTATTTTATTTATTTATATATCAATTCTATCTCCCTTTGTATTTCATCACATCAATCATCTTCACAAAAATGATATCAAATAATAGCCGGTGGTCTTGTTGGTCGGAACTAATCACTAGCAAGAAAGACGACCTCACTTTCCAATTACTCATCTTTTCAGTCATCTCCTTGTCTGTTTTTTGGTACATATTCAGGAAGGCCACATTCCGGTTGCCGCCGGGACCTCGTGGCTTGCCGGTGCTGGGATACCTTCCATTTCTCAGCCCCGACTTGCACCATGAATTCACCAAATTGGGTCAACGTTATGGCCCCATTTGTAAACTCCAGCTCGGACGCAAGACCTACATCATCGTCAGCTCGTCGGATCTTGCTAAAGAAGTGGTGCGTGTGCAGGACGATGTTTTCTCTAACCGAGACCCTCCGGTGGCTGGGATTGTCCTCACATACGGTGGCAAAGATATCGTCTGGTCCGACAACAACTCATACTGGCGTAACCTGCGTAAAGTCTTCGTCTCCGAAGTCCTGAGCAACAAGAACCTTGAAGCTTCTCGATCTTTCCGGCGAGCTGGAGTCAGAAAAATTATCAAGCACGTTTACGAAACGATTGGGAATGAGGTCGACGTCGGCGGGATGGCGTTCACGTCGTCGTTGAGTGTCGTAACCAACATGATGTGGGGGAAAAGTTTGGATGAAAAGAAAGAAAACAGTAATCTTGGGGTTGGGTTCCGGGAGGTTATTTCAAAGATTGTGGAGCTTCTGGGAGCAGCGAACGTATCGGACCTTTTTCCGGTACTCTCCAGATTCGATTTACAGGGTGTGGAACGAAAAATAAAGCAGCAATTGCAGAAGGTTGATGAGATATTTCAGAGGATAATCGACGATAGAATGAGTGTTAAACCTGAAGAATCAGTAGAACAACAGGGAAGAAAGGATTTATTGCAGATTTTACTAGAGCATAAACAAAAAGACAATACATCAACTTTCAGTATTACCCAAATTAAAGCCCTTTTCATGGTAGCTATCAAACCCTTCTATTTTCTGTTTGTTTTATCATTTACATAATCCTTTGTCTACTTTCTACATCCCTTCGACACAGAAATAACTAAGTTTTGTTGAAACAGGACATTGTAACCGGAGGAACAGACACAACATCAACAATGGCGGAATGGACAATGGCGGAGGTTTTGAAACATCCAGAGATAATGAAGAAGATACAAGACGAATTAGAGCAAGTCATCGGCCTAAACAATATTGTTGAAGAATCTCATCTTCCAAGATTATGTTACTTAGATGCGGTGATTAAAGAAACATTCCGTTTACACCCTCCACTTCCTCTGTTGATAGGGCGATGTCCAAATCAATCTTGCAAGGTTGATGGATACACAGTCCCAAAGGGTTCAAACGTGTTTTTAAATGTTTGGGCAATACACAGGGATCCAAAATACTGGGAAAATCCTACGGAATTTGATCCCAATAGATTTCTAAACCCCGATGGAACAACCAAATACGATTACAGTGGAAACAATACCAACTTTCTGGCATTTGGATCTGGTAGGAGAAAGTGTCCTGGAATTCCTTTGGGTGAGAAGATGTTGGTGTATCTTTTGGCTTCATTATTGCACTCATTTGATTGGACTTTGCCAAAAGACAAGGAACATGAGCTTTCTGATAAATTTGGGATTGTCTTGAAGAAGAGAAAACCGTTAATGGCAATCCCTTCTCAGAGGTTACCAGACAAAAATCTATACATGTAATAGAAACCATCGGTACATCATCTCGTGTATTGTGAATACAGTTGTTGATCAATTTGATTTTGGTCATGTAATCTTATCTATTTTGATACCTTACTTTGACTTATATTAAAGGGAAGTAATTATGCGTCTATTTAATGGTTTTGTACTTTTGTTAAATGAAAAGAAAATTTATTTTTTGAGAAATTAAATATCTTCTTGCTCTACTAATCCACCTATCCATTTAAATTTAAATGATGATATCTATTATATTAGTATAGTAAAATATCATTAAATGAATATTAAATGTTACATATGTTACCATTTAATTGGGTAGAAAGATTTATAGGAACAAAATATTATTATTCTAATAAATGAACAGTTTTAATATTCATTTGTCAATTGTCACTCTAATACAACTCATCATTAATATTATGTCATGTGTCATGTAGATATATATTAGTCAACTCATTTTCAAAATTTAAATTTACATTTTCTAATTATATATTAAATTTGAATTTATAATAACTTTAAAATTTTGATATATCTATTAATTAATAATTTATTTAAAATGATTTATTTAAAATAACTAATTAATAATTATAATTTTTTATTATGAACGTTTAATTAATTTTATAGTCGTAGTTTCTAAAGGTTATAAACCAGTAGAAGAATATTTAACTTCTCGTATTTTTTAGGGTATAAATTTTGGATCAAGCAACAAAAATCCAAGCATATCTAGAAGATGTATTATTTAATTAAGAACACATTTTTATAATTGAAGTGATTACTATACCGCATTGGACTTTTGAACGGCAACCATCAATTTTTTTTTAATTTTTTTCTTTTTAGCCATCGACGGCTAAGGCTAAAGGCTATAAGTCATGTAGTTTTTACCATTGACATGTTGATTTGACAGTTTTTACCGACGCAAACAACGCCGCTCATCAAAATATTTTGCCAGCAGTAATCTTCACCAGTACACATCTATCTCTCTCTCTCTCTTAAACACAAACACCACACCCTAACTATTTTTCAAAATGATAAAAATGACAAACATGTCCCTATCAAGGTGGCACATATTACTGGTGGTATGACACCGTTTAGCCTAATTCGTCATTTTTGAAGTCGATTACTGCCACAAAAGTCATTATATATACAATATTGTTCTGTTTGACCCAATTATTATTATTTTCCTTATTCGCCATTATATTTTGGAAAAATTTTAGTTTTAGCTCTTGGCCGCTCACCAACAGGTAATGATGATGTGTCGGTTTGATTTACATGAAATACTTTTCTCAGTTTGATATAGCCTCATTTACGTATAAGTTTGCATTTAGCCCCAATATTTTTTTTGTTCCTTATTTACCATTATTTTTTAGAAAAAAATTTATTTTAGCCATTGACTAATTATGATTAGGTATTTTAAAACGTAATAACTTCAAATGAAAAAAGAAAAGACGAATGCAAGAATCGAAACTGCGACTTCTCCTTGAGTAGCAGTGTGTGTTAGCTATTAAGCCAATGACTTTTTTTTTGTATTATCGGTTTTTGTTGTAGTTAATTTTTTGTTGTAGTTAATGTATATATGTATTTTAGAATGAAGAAAAAAGACCTAGGGTAAGTCTCGATTCCGAGACATCAAATAAACAATGCGACATGTTAATCTTTGAGCCAATCAAAATTCTTAATTCAATCTTAACTCATCTAAGAAACAATTAGATATTTCTAATGACATATTTGATGAGAAACCAAAGAAATGAGATGCTAGTACGTATAACATTTAAGGGTTAAATGCAAGAAATAGCAATGAACGTTCTTTTTTACTTATTATAGCTTTGTACTATCATATTTTCTTATTACAACATGTGCTTTCAAACTAATATCTATTAAGGCATTGTACTTTGATAAATATATTTATTATAGCAATAGGTAAGCCGTTGATTGAAATTATGATGGTTTGTGTAACATCCCGATTTTCCGGTATTTTAATATTCCTTGTATTTTTATCATTAATGGCACTTTTGGTCCCTTGGAAGAAAAGTTTCGCTATTTTAGTCGTATGTTGGGCGTACGTAAGGGTACGCGTAGAGTACCCATGTAGTGTGAGAATCGCGGGTGCCCAACTAGTACGTTGGGCGTACGTGTGGTACGTCTGGCGTACTAGCCCAGACTCCAAAACCCTAATTTCATAAGTTGCTCCCTATATAAAGAACATTAAGTCCTTTTTTGGTCACCCTTATCAGCCTCCAAACCTTCCCTAAACCCTAATCCGGAGTTTGAGTGTTTGTGTGAGCCTTGCAAGTTCATTGGGTGTTTTTGGTGCATTTAGTTGAAGAAGGAAGCTAGAGAAGAAGGAGTGGGTGTTAGCAAGCTTGGAGATCTAGAAAACTTCCCTCCTTCTGTATCATTTTCAGGTATAAAGTTTGTACCTTGACAAGTCTTTCATTAGATCTCCATGTTTGAAATTTTAAGAGTTTTGTCCCCAAAGATTGGAACTTTATGAGTTTGGGGCACTCCACGGGGTTTGTAGTTGTCCTTTCATGTATTATGGGACTTGTGGATTCATAAAATGGTAGCTTGGTCACTCCCTTTCGTTCATGCATGAGCAAAATAGCTTAGAATGTGTGGGGAGTTTATGAATGTTGCTTTGGGAATTTTCTAGCCATGCAAAGCCTTAAAGTCGATAACTTTATGGTTTTAGACATCTTAGAATGGCCAAATTTGTGTTTGGGGTAATTTTCTTAAGGGTTTAAGACACAAGTTAGTAGAAATGGGAACAGACGGAGTACGATGGGCGTACAATTGGCTACGCCCCGCGTAGCCGATCCCAGCCCCGTCATTTCCTGTTCGAGTTGTACTCCCTGTGTAGGTTGTGGTACACTCAGTGTATTCGTTGAGCATTGACTTTTGTTGACCTTTGTTGACTTTGACCCTTGGTCAAGATTTAGGGTTTTTGGACCATGAGAAGGGCAAAATGGTCTTTTTTCCCTTAAAAGGTTTACCCGTGGGATTTGGACTCGCGAGTGAGTTTTTGGACCTTAATTATTAATTAGGGTTAATTATTTTGTTAACTAGGCAGAGTCTAGATCCGACAGTTCGGGTGCTAGATTTTCGTGTCGTCAGTGTCAGGTCAGTCTCCTCACTTATTCTTACCTGTATGGTAGAATAGTTGTATTTATGATGACCAACTGGGTCTAGCTGTTATGGTTATGTTATGCTATTTATATGTGACTGAGACTGTTGATAGCCAACCAGGGTTGCTGATAAACCACATGGCATGCTGTTAGCTCATTGGGACTGTTGATAGTCCCCAAGGTTGCTGATAACCCATAGTGGTTTATTTATGATGTGTTGTATGTGGTATATTGGGGAACTCACTAAGCTTCGTGCTTGCAGTTGTTGATTTATATGTGGCAGGTACTTCACACAACCGCGGGAATGTAACGCCGTGTTTCGAGGCTAAGCATTTAGTTCGATGATATAATCACATAAAATCAAATAATTCACATAACATTCATCTTTATTACTTTAAAAGTGAGTTTACGATAAAGTGATTTTTAGCCTTAGCGATCTAAACGAAAGTCATAGTGTTTGCTAAACCGAGAGCGTGCATAAAAAGAACACCCAAATCTGACTTCGTATGAGGAAGTTATGATTTTTCCAAGTCTCGGATTAACAGTACACAGCCCGGAGTTCGAATAGTAGATCAAACGGTTTTCGGCCGACACAACCTAAACGAGAATCGTAGGTCTCGTTAATAGTAGTTCAACGGTAAAAAGACAGACGAAAACGGACGTCGGAAGAAGAGTTACGCCGACAAGCGGCGTTCAGACTTGGATTTTCAGGAGGGCGGAATGGTTCTCCTGAAGGTGTCGCCCTGGAAGGGTGTCATACGATTTCGGAAGCGGGGCAAGCTAGGCCCCAGGTATATCGGCACCTTCCGAGTCATAGCTCGGGTGGGCAAGGTAGCATACAGACTGGATCTTCCCGCCGAGCTCAGTCAGATCCACAGCACTTTCCCTGTTTCCCAGTTATGGAAGTGCTTAGTGGATGATTCAGCAGTGGTACCCCTTGAGGTTATTCAGGTTGATGACAGTCTGAACTACATTGAGAGACCAGTGGCGATTCTAGATCGCAAGACGAAGGAGCTAAGAAACAAGCAAGTTGAGTTAGTGAAGGTGCAGTGGAAGCACCGTAAGGGTTCAGAGTGGACATGGGAGCCCGAGGAGGAGATGAGGGAGCACTACCCAAAGTTATTTTCAGACGCAACAGACTTCGAGGACGAAGTCTAGAACAAGTGGGGGAGAATTGTAACACCCCATTCCTGGTACGCATTTAATTTATTAAAATATTCATTTTGTAAGAGCTACTCGACGAGTTGGTAGCCCTAACTCGTCTAGTAGATGCCGGCTTGGTCGCGGGGTTTAAGTGGTCTACTCGACGAGTCGAAGCCTGGACTCGGCGAGTAGGTCTATCAGGAGGAAACCCTAATCTTCAGGGTTTGCACCCTATTTAAACATCATATCTGGCCTCCACCCCAGCGTCTATCACCTCCAAACCCTAATCTCGAAACCCTAATCCACCTTGAGTGATTTGGAGCTAGTTCTTGCCATTTTTAGTGTTATTGTGCATTTTGAAGCTTGTGGAAGAAGAAGAAGATAGAAGGCTCAAAGGGGAAGAAGTAGATCCAGGAGCTACACTTTATTTACTGCACTTTCTGGTAATCAAGTACCTAACTTGATCTTTCTTCTCTTAGATCTATTTGTTTGCATTTTATGAAGGAATTGGTTCAAGAATCCTTAGCCCTTGGGATTGGGACGTCCCAAGTGATGTATATCTCAGATTTGGGGTCTAGGAAGGGTTCCATGGCATAAAGGTGCAAACTTTATGACCATGGAGACCCCATGCAAGTTTATATGCATGGACATGGCCTTTTTAGCCCTAAAAGACCATGCATGGGAGGAAAGCTCGGGACTTTACGTGTCCCACAGATGATAAGAGTCTAGATCTAGTATATTGTGCTTTGGCTTATGGTATTATGGCTTGTGGACCACGTATTTTGTCTTAAAGAAGTTAGGGTTTGGGTTAAACCCATTAGGAAGGACTAAGGACGGGTAAAGTTGGAAACTTTACCCTTAGGAGTGTATTTCCAGTATGTA